CCGCTCTGTTTAATGCTTTTACTCCATTCGTCCAACGATTTGAACGTCAAGTTCTCATGTGTTGATGCATTGGTTGCCGATGTGTCTGATTCTTCTGATGTAACGCTACGATCAATGGTATGGTTTTTATTGAAGAGAAAGTTAGCCCACATATCGCCGTGAATTTGAAGTGATTTCGATTCAGTGTCTCCTCCAGTGACTGCACTCTTACTGTTTGTGTCACATAAATGGCTATTTGAATGAGAAGTTGTGTCCACACATGCGGTGTCGGCAGTAGTTTTGATGAGTCGAGACTCATTGGCTTCGACCGCCTTTTCTGCCGCTTCGGCCAAAACATTAAGTGCTGTAAAAGTGGAGCTCTTTTTGTTTCGTATTTTCTTTTTCTTCGCCTCAATCGCGGGTTTTGTGTTATTTTTGGTCCATTTTTGTGGATAAATAAATGCATTGCTCTCATCATAACTGAGCTCTCGTTCCAAATGCTTAAGTGAAGCCTTTTTGAATGCACGCCAAACGCCATAAGCCATTAGTGTGTAACCATTTTTGGGTCCATTGAATGTCTCGCAATTGTTAACCATAAGTTTGAAATCGTTTTCCACTTCTTCGAAAGTCTCGTACTCTCTGTCCTCAATTCGCTTCTCAATGGCAGACAAATCAATGGGTTCTTCGATCACTTGATAATACATCGGAAACTTTGTTCCGTCGACCGGTTCTAAGAAAGGCCAGGCGTCACGATTCGACTTCACATTACAAATAACTACATAAATTCAATATACATTTTGTAAACATTTATTCATTCAGAAAAATATACGAAATAAAAGCCAAACAAACCTTTTTCTAAGCCATCATAGAGTAAATGCTTGGGATTTGTTGGAACGACCGGTATATCAATAAATCTATTAAATTAAAAATAAAACACAATTATAGAACAATTTGGATAACAATTGTCCAAAAAATATGTCACATTTGGTGAGCACAACAATAATGGGAGGATTAAAAAAGCGGCGAAAGAGTGGGCAAATACTACATAAGCAAACGTCAAACTAAAAGCCAAACACCAAAACACTTGTGTTAAGACTTACAAAATTGTTTCTTTCGAATTGGAAGGCCGTTAAGGCTTTGCGCGGCTGAGGAGTCAGAGGAGGCAGAGCTCGCATACAATACGAGTGCCCGTATGAACAGAAACAGAGAGAAGTTTGTCAGTTAATTACTTATTAAATGAAACAAATCGTTGTTTCAAACAAAACAAATTACAATAATTCTAACCAAACATTTCATTAAAACTAACAAAAATGTCTCGTTTTTTATAACTCACTCTTCATGGATGTACTGAAACTGAGATTCGTTGGATTCATTGGTCTCCATATTCTGATCGGTTTGTTGGGAATCGGCGAACATCTCGTACTCCATGGCCTGCCGTTTGAGCGCTCGTTCGGCTCTCTCTTCGACCAATTGAAGTCTCTTCTCAGCCCTCTGTTGCCTATCGTGTTTGATTCGCTCACTTCTTTGTCGCTCAGTCTCGTGACTCTTGCGTTCGTTGAGCTCTTGCTTTTGACGACTGATTTCCTGTTCCTCCAAATCGTCCCTTTCTTTCTGTATTTTCTTCAATTCAATTCTTGAGGACAATCTTCGCGGCAATAATTCCAACAGCTTTTGTCGCTCCACTTTCTGTCTCTCCTTCTCTTGATTCTCAAAAATTTCGCTAATTTTTGGCACAAAAGTTGAGAGAAGTTTATGAAATTCAATCTCACATTTTGTTTTACTCTTTGAAAACTTTAGGCACAACTCTTTCCAGTCCTCCTCAGTCTTACAGAACAAACTCCAGGCCTCTTGTCGTTCACTTATACTATAAGAGACTTCTTTTAATTCTTTTATTGAGAATAAAAGTGTGAAAAATAATAAACTAAGGTGTGAGCTTCGTGAAAAACATTGTCAAAACCCGCTTACCTATGGCAAACCGTCTGAAACCAGGCTGAAAGAGACGGACTCAGGTCAGGCTTTCGGTAACACTTTTGGAGGTAAACTTCGGTTTCGTTTCTCCGCCTCTTTCTTTCGCTTTTCCTCAAGAAGTGTCTGTTTCTTGAGCTCCACTTCTGTTCTGTGTTTCTCTAATCGGATTTCTTCGGCTCTTTTGGCCACAAATTCATCATAATTTTGAGAAACGCTTTCAATTTCTTGAGCAAACGTTGGATTCTCTCTGTAGAGACGCGTCCCATAAAAGTACCAATAATTATAACCTTTGCTATCAGTTCCGAGCGGTTCTACACGATATTCATCACCACTAATATCGTTAACCAATTGCGAGATATCGTCCGAATAAAGTCTATAATCACATAAACAGTGAATTATATCGACTTTCGTTCGGAGCGGCAAATCACTGAATTTGAGCGCAACTTCTTCGCCATTATCATCAAACTTAACGAATGGCGACCTCTTCTTCTCGATGTCCACCCATTGAATCTTAAATAACTTTTCCAAATATGTCTCCCAATTGCTAATACTTTATATAATAAATATATTTATTTAATTATAGTTTTAGTTATTAAATAAAGTTTAGTTATTAATGAACTATAAACATAACTTTATAGGAAATTCTTCTCGTGTTTAGTTAAACTTATGTTATAAACAAAGTTAACTTAGGTTACCGTTTTCATTGGATGAGAGAAACGATAGGAAAGCAAACTCTAAATCCTATTCAATGAACAAATCGTTAATTATAGATAATTATGCGGCTGAAGGACAGCCTCTCTCTCTCTCTCTCTCTCACCTCATAATCAAAATCTGGTAAATCTATGTAATGTCTGAATAGATTACAGAAGTGAGCGATGGATGGGATTTGATAATAGGTCTGCAATTCTGTGGCAAACAAATGGTTAGAATAAGTGATAAATTGGTCACAAAGTCATCAAAAAAGTCAATTCAAACCTTCCATCAAATAATAAGCAATTTATGGCCAAAATTGGATCAAAGGCTCAATCAATCGATTTGTGGATCTAATGGCGAAAACGATTCATTCAATTACGGACTCAAAACTTCGCTCCGATTATTATATGTATTGATTATAATATTTAACATTAATTAATAAAACAATTAAAACATTAAATTCAATGACAAAACACAAAAAATTATTACTATTTTTTCGTTATTATGTGTAAAATATTAGGAAATGCTTTCAATGAGAAACCAATTGTCATAAACAATGTGTGCCATAAAAATGCAACACTTTTTGTCCCCTTTTCATGCGTTAACAATAGAGACGACTCGTGTCTAACGTTACGTTATTTATGCGCAAAACTGACGAACCGTTTGAGTCTTTTTTCTCATATAATTTGAGTGAACAATGAATTTGAGGCACGAATTGAAACAGATTTCGCGATTCGTAACCAATGTTCACACCTTTTGCCACAACTTTCAATACGAATAACTCATTGGTTTTCAAGCTTTACATTACAAACACATTTCAATATAACAATTACTATTCAATTGTAATTAAAAAAACTAAAAGTTGTATTAAAAATGAGAGTAATGTTCAAAAATAAAGTGACATAAAGTTTGGCGGTTTTGGTCTCCAACCGATCGCCATATGTATTGACAGCTCATTCACAAACACTGTACACAATATTGAGTGCCATTTGTTGCCCACAAATACATTCATAATTTATCATAAATCATAACCGGATTAATAATGCCTCCCAACCCCTCAATTCACCCCCACTTTAACCAAGTTTTCATAAAATAGATTAAAACAATGTATTTATTTCAACACATATTCTTTGCCTATTCTTTGCTTTTAAGACTTTATTCTCTCTAAAAAACATTTTCTCTATATATTTGTGCGATAAATGCCATGAATTGTGCCATAATTTGGTTATATATTGAAACGAAAAGTAATTCTCTCTACGAAAGCGAATTGAAAGTAACGCCAATTGATGTGAGAAATGATTGGTTTGTTTCGCTAATAAGCGTAACGAGAATTGAATGATAAGATTTGCCGATAAAAACAAACCAACGATTAGATTAGGACAGCGTTTATGGTTAGAGAGGGCGACACATGTCTGTCATTAATGTTGTAATTGATGTGTGTTTTGGAGGTTTGAGTGCTCGCAGGGAGAGAGAGATAGAGAGGAAAGTGTTGAGAGAGAGCTGTGGGAGAGCTGTGGGAGAGGGAGAGAGAGTGAGTGGAGAGAGTGTGGAGAGTGTGTTGTCGAGAGTGAGTGGTTGTTGTGAGTGGTGTTGAGGGGAAGGAATGGTGAAGGGGTGTGAAGTGACGGCCCATTAAAATGGTTGAACATTAATATTATTAATATTAGGCCTCAAAACGAGTGCTATTATTGTCTCAACACAACTATATTTCAATGATTACATAATATTGTGGACAAAAAACACATACATTTTGTGATTGAATAAAACGCCAGAAAATTAATGACAAAACAAATTGTTTGCAAACTTTTTGACCTAAAAATACCATTTTATTTATCAATTCACACATCAAATGGTAATTTCATTTCATTTTTTATTTACATTTTTTTGTAAACACTTTTTAATGCATTAGATTTGAAATGATTTTAATTTGGTTTTAATTTTTATTTTATTTTGAAATTAATGGCAATTTTGACGTGAATTTAGGATAAATTGCGTGAAATTAGTGTTGAATTGAAGTGAAAATGCATTTGAAATGTAAACAAATGCTAAGAATTGAGTGCAAAGAAGAGTACATTTAACCGATGAAGAAGTGAATGGTTTTGTCGCGACATAAGCCGAAGACATTGTGTGACAGTCAGTGTCGGCAATGGACCCGTCCTCGTGGTTGGGCGGCTATTCTCAGCACTACTCCCGTGAGTCCCGAAGCCCGTTAGTCTACGGCTCAGTTGAGTTACAAGGCGGCCCAGAATTACAGCCGGTTTCACCAGTAGTCGAGTTGCATTTGCTGGTGGTGAACCCAGAGCCGCATCGCGGGTTACGGGCCAATCAGGCGATCGCCGGCCACTCGGGTCACTACGGCTCGACCGCAACGCATCCACATTCGTGGCTCACATTCGCATCGCACGGTCTGAACGCAGCCTCGCATCAGACGCCCACTCATGACAGCTCGTCCTTCAATCCCAACCACTTTCTCCATCATCCGGGCTATGAGTCGAGCTTCTTGTCGAAGGCCTCTTACTTACCGACCGGTGCCGTCGGCTCCGGCTTTTTCAACACAATTAAAAAAGCGGACAACGATATGAATAATCTACGGAACGCCGCCTATTGTTCGACAATGTCCTCAATGTCTGGTATGTCCGCCGCCAACAACATGACAACGGATCCCAACGCCAGTTTGGCCACCGGATCGCTGTTTCCCTCCCATTTAACGCCAAGCAATTGGCGCCATAACCTCATCGGATCCAACACTTCGAGCGGACCATTCGGTATATTACCGCACGAAGCGGTCAACTCTGTGAACGTAATGAACACCGGTTCCAACGCGATGGCCAACTCTCACATCCACTCATCGCACGCCTCACACAACTTGAAGGCATTGTTCGGGTCGACAGACATACCGCTAATATTATTGGCGTTATTATTGTTATTATTCTTATTCCTGTCCTTTTTCTTACTCTTTTTACTGCTTTTAGTCTTTTTCTTATTACCGGTAAACGAATTGTCGAGTTTTAAGTTAGGATTAAACGTGTTATTCGTTTCGTCGTTTACACCGAAGTTAATGATCGGAAAATCAATTTCTTGCGAACTAAACACTGAGTTCAGTGTCGGTTCACTTTGATGTCCAATCACGTGGTCTGTGTTATTGAGTTGCGAATCACTCGTGAGTTTAGTGTTTGAGATGTTGTCGTTAATAGGATTGACGGCAACCATACTCGAGAGACTACACGATTCCGGCTCTGTTTCGTGAATAGCAGAGTTGGCGATCATATAACCAGGTCTTTGGGGCACAACTGTTGAGCCGTTTTGTGTGTTATTCATGTTAGCGGCGGCCGCGGCCGCAACCATACACGACGACGAGTTCGTCAAACTAATTGTGTCTGCATTTCTGTTGCCATTTGTCGTCATCTTTGGATTTGCGGCGAAATTAGTTGCATAACTGGTAGTAAAGGGAGCGCTCTGTGTGGGCGTCTGCGGGTAATGCGGGACCTGTTCCTCGTGAGGCGGTGGCACCGAATTGTTGGCCGGAGTCACGTGAGGCTGGCCTACGCTCGACGGCGGTGTGGGATAACCGGGTGTTGGGGTAGGAGTTTGAGTGCCCATCGATGGAAAGCCTTGAGGAGTGCCGTAATTTGTATAGTCCTGAGTGGAGGACTGGACCGGAGCGCCGGCGCCGGTAGGCGTGCCCTGACTAGAGTTGGATGTGTTTGATCGTTGAGGCGGCGGATACGGCGATTGTGGCATTTGTGTGGCGGCGGGACTGCTGTAACCGTAACTGCACGACGAGTCGTTGCCCGCCTGCCGGTAGGCGTGCCCTGACTAGAGTTGGATGTGTTTGATCGTTGAGGCGGCGGATACGGCGATTGTGGCATTTGTGTGGCGGCGGGACTGCTGTAACCGTAACTGCACGACGAGTCGTTGCCCGCGAGCGGCGGGTGATTACTGGCCGCCGACGACGAACGCGAGACCGACGTATTGTTTGTCAAATTGTTTGTAATAACGTTATTATTATTATTATTATTATTATTATTGACACTATGGGCGGGACTGGAAGAGTAATTGGCCACCGATTGAGCGCTGGTGTTCATCATTGGCATCATTGCACAGTTGGACAAATAGCTACCGTTCATAGCGTTCATAGCATTCATTGGGTTCATAGCACTCATAGTATTTCTTGCATTATTACACGAATTGTTTGAGCTCTGCTTCGAGTTGTGTAGAAGCGATGAACTGCTCAACAGTTCCCGATTCCGAGCGCTCGCGTCTGAATGGAAGCCCACCGAAGGGTAGGCCGTTCTCGAGGCGGTGTTGGAGGCGAATGCGATCGCCTGTTGATTACCGGAAGCAATACCCGATGCATATCTTTGCTGTTGCATTGAGGCGTAATCGGATGCCATCGCCATCGCGTACGCCGACGCGTACGGATCCACTTGGCTGTGGTGGTGATGGCTCGTGATCTTTGAACCCATGTTGGCGTCAAACGACGGCTGACCTCTGGAGGGCATCGCGTGACTCGATTGGGTCGGAGGCAGAGACGGCATAATATTGCGAAACGAATTGTCCACACTTGACATCGCGGGCATTGCCGCCGATGTCTTGTGGTTGTGGTGATGATTATAGTGATGCCCTTTTTGGCTCTCATTTGATTTGTTGTGTGAAGAACTCGAGTGATGCGAAGAAGTGTTGTGTGAAGAGTGCGACGAATGGGAGTTGTGTGAGGCGTGCGATGAGTGGATGTGAGAGTTGGCCATCGCGTTGGAACCGGTGTTCATTACGTTCACAGAGTTGACCGCTTCGTGCGGTAATATACCGAATGGTCCGCTCGAAGTGTTGGATGTTTACCGGTAATAAGAAAAAGACTAAAAGCAGTAAAAAGAGTAAGAAAAAGGACAGGAATAAGAATAATAACAATAATAACGCCAATAATATTAGCGGTATGTCTGTCGACCCGAACAATGCCTTCACTGGCTATCAATACCCGAATCAACAGCAATACCAGAATACTTACCACAACTCAAACCCATATCTAATGCCCCAAAGTATTGGTCATCACAACCAAACACCGCAAGAGTCGCAACAGACTCATAACGTGATACCAAACGACACCAACGGTGACAACAGCCACACAAACGCCAATTCTTGTTACGATATGCAATACCAACACTTAACACAACAGGTTTCGCAACAACAGCAACAGCAGTCCCAACAACAACAACAACAACAGCTGTCTTCACACACCACACAACCAGAACACGATTTGATGCAACAGTTGCCTCACGAACCGCTCCATCAAACAGTACAACAAACACAAGAGCATCAGATGATGGAACCGGTGATGTCGATGGTATCGCAACAACAACAAGTTGTCAACTGTGTTTGCGTCAGGTTAAATCACTTGCTTTTCGTTAGCAAAGGGTGTTAGCTGCTGCTCAACTCAAAAGACTGCCTTGGCTGTCTTACGCACAGTTACCTTTGCGTTTGAGGCTTGCCAAACATGAATAACACGAGCGTTCAGTTGGAGACTCAGTCGCCGCTCGTTATTAACCAGACGTCGAACATCTGTTCCGATCGATCGAATGCCGCGAACCTATCGCCCAATAACTCGAACCACGGAAACAGCAATTCGTCTCAACCGTCGGGTTATCTCAAGAGTTACATGACTTTCATAAACTCTCCGAATCCACAGTCGCTTCTCAAAGAGAAGAAGAAGAAGAAACTGAAAGAGTCGAACGAAAATAAGATCAAACAAAATCATAATACAGTTAACGGACAGAAATCGAGTAAACATAAGAAACCCAAACACGAGGACAGCTATGAATGCAATGACGAAGAGTTGTCCGATTTTGACCACAAAAAGAATAACTTTTCGGCAATCAATGAAAATACGCCCAAATTTATGAGCGGAGAAAACATTGGACTCAAGAAGTCCACAACCGGTGACCGCGAGAACTACGAAAGCAAATTCTTCAAGAGAAGGCCGTCGACTAATATCAATACAAATAACGTTCATATCATTGAAATGGAGTCACGAAAGGAAGTGAAGAACGGAAAGAAGCGGAAGAATAAGTTTGATTTCAATATGTTTTCAAATGATTCGCAGCAAAAGCACGACGAATACGAGTTCCCCGACAGTCCGCCCAACACTCACTCCATGAAGAAGAGCCGAAAGTCCAGCACTTCTGACAATTCGAGCAAAAAGAAAACGACAGCAGAATTCGAGAAAATCACTTCTCCTTCGGTTAACATTAACATCAAGAAGAATACCAACAAAAAGAGTGTTACAACTAATGTGCCCAATGCTGTCAAACCCAATCTGACCACCAGCTCTACCGAATCGATTGAAATTAGTATTAATTCAGTTGCACTCAACACCGGTTTGACGCAAACCAATGACAATCAATCGGAACAATTAGTACAACCAATACTATGTCCCGAAACGGTTAAAGTGGAGCCAATGGTTAACACTTCCTCCCAATCAGTTCCCAATCCTCCAGTTGTCAACAATAAGAAACCGAACTCATCATCAAATCAAACAAATAATAAAAAACAAACTCAAAATCAATCCATAAACAGGAAATCGCCAAATGTTAAGACAAGTCCGACGACAGCCACACCATTAAACACATCGACGGTTGCCATCGAACACATCCTATCGCCCGTTCAAACGACGCCCATCTCTAATAACATAAACAATACAATCATTTCTATGAGCACCTCATCGACGACCACAACAACACCTCCAACGCCAACAACTACTTCAAGTGCACCAATCGTTACAAATAATTGTAATTCAAACCAACTGTCGGTTGGTATGCAAAGCGCCGGAACTAATACTCCTCGACGACGATCTCAAGACAAGAAGGCGTCCACTATTCGGGAGGGAATGATGAGAACCGGAGATTTTGTTGTTTCTATCGATGAATCACAATATGATTTACCCGTCATTTGGAGAATTGAAGGGAAAAGTTTGCTCCAGAGGTTTGAACCACAAGAACAAGAAGACATCACTGTATATATCAATACTTCATCGGTTAGTACTATAATCGCAATTATATGAACACATATTGACAAACAATTAGTTGATTAAAAATAATTTGATGAAATACTTGTTGTTATAGTACTCGGCTTGGAATCCGACAGTTAGGCAACGCTATACCGGTGTAGACGTCCGAGTGATGGGATGCAGTCGGACCAGAATTGTGGTCGAAAAGCTAGGTCTCACTCAAGCAAATCCCAACACTGTGTAAGTTATCCCTTCTCTTCGGTTTCAATATTACACAAATTGGAAAAATTGAATCCAAATTGTTGTTTGCAGTAATGGTTTGGCATCTATCGAAAGGGTTGGCGCTAATAATAAAGCTAATGCATCGCAAATGACACCCAATAACTCATTTCATAATCAAGAGAACTTTGAAGTCTTTATTCAAACACTCATTAGTCAAGCATTGGATCCGAATTTCATTTCAGAGATTGTTAAAGAAAATGGTTAAACCATTGAATGCATATAAATATGACCATAAAAACTAACGATTGGTTTATTATTTGATAAACAGATGATTACTTCTTATCACACGTTCAGGCGATAGACGACATGTGTTCGCGAAAGAAGTCGCGTTTCTTCTCCAAAATCAAATGGGACGCCAATATTGTAAAGTGTGTCGAGACTTATCCGCTCTTCACAGTCACCGCTCAGAACAATGTCGGAGATCTTCGGTGTCGGGTATTATCACTTATATTCTGTTTGATTTGACGCAACTTTTGTTATAATTTGTGGTGATTTTGCTTTCAAAGTTATGTCACGACAACTGGAGTACTCAGATAATGCAGTTCAACGGCGAGCCATACAATCAGATGACTCTTGAGCCGCAATTGGGCGTCGATTTGAAGCAAACGAAATACGCGGCGTGCGATCCGTGCACTGAAAAGATTGTATTATATTCTCATTTACATCATCAGAAAAACAACTTCTTCTCCAAATGCAAATCTAAAGTAAGTGTTGTATTCGTGACCAATGTTTGAACAAATTGTAAACAATGAACGATTGGTTACTGACAGGTGGACAGCATCAGAGGCGGTGATGAAAGCAAAGAATCACATGTGATATTAGAACTGTGTCTTCAAGACAGTGATTGGATTAATACGGTATGTGTTGTCGACAAGTTTACCGTTCAATTGGTCACTAATTTGTGTGTTTTTCTTAACAGCTGTTTAAAGAATTGGAAGAGATTTGGTTGAATTGCGACAAAATTAGATAATATCTGTATTTTTGAAGACATTTTGCCATAAATTGTATATTTGTGTCATTCATGAAAATCTTATAAATCGGTTTGTATTAAATCTAAATTAAAAGTAATAGTGGTTTTAATCACTTTACGCACAAATCAGTTGTTTGTAAAATTCAAAGTTTTAATCAAATAAGAGATGAGGTATTATTAAGAACTCAATGAATGTCTGGTAAATTTTTGATTAATCAACACATCATTCAATTCCAGCCCTCTTTTGAAATGAGATTTTTTGAAAACTATTTTTTAAAAATATTTTCAATTTATATACAAAAGAGTGAAATAAATGTATAAATAATTCAATGGATTCGAGAGATTTCATTAGATTACGAATGCCTTTTGCCGACCATTTGTTCAAAATATTAATTGATTTTAAATATTTATGACAAGAATTTTCAATTTTTGAGAAAAAGGTTTTTAATTCTTATATTTCTAATGATTTTTATTTTTGTTTAATTGATTAAAAGGAATGGAGGGGTAGTCGACGCTCGCGGCCAGAAAGTCGGCTTTTATCCAGAAGTGCCCGAAGTTTTGAAAACGCTGTTTTCAATGGGGTATACAATAGGAATCGCCTCTCGGTTTGTATTAAGGTTTCAATGTTTGAATTCATTCAATAAATTGTTTTTTACCAAAAAGGACTTCAGCGCCAGAAGACGCGGAAGAATTGCTGTCATTATTTGATTGGAATAAATACATCACTTATAAGCAAATATATCCGGGATGTAAGACAACTCACTTCAACCGCATTCGCAAAGAAAGTGGAGTCCAATTGTCACAAATGCTCTTCTTTGACGACGAGTCCAGAAATATAAAAGATCTTAAGGCCGTTGGAGTGACCAGTATTTTAGTCAACAAAGGGGTCGATAAAGTTGTCATTAATGAAGGCATCAAACAATTTGTTACAGAAAAACAATGATATTAAATGATTTATTATTTATTTAAATAAAGATCCTATTTTGTATAGTATAAACTTTATACGATAGCATTGCTGTGATTTTTATGAAAAAATTGTATTTTATTAAATAATAATAATAATAATAATTTAGGTTTTAAATTAAAACGTGTTATAATTATGTGTAACTTAATTAATTCGATTACAAATTAAATACATATGAAAAAAACAAAGTAAAAGATGAAAAATTGTGTTTTTTGTATAATAATATAAATCAATTGAAATAATTTAAGTTATTTATTGTATAATTTTATGAATGATTCAAAATTCAGTTAAAATTGTATTTAATTTTCAATTACAAATATTTAGCCAAATGTGTGGTCGTATCACAAATACTGAACGTCTGTATCAGTTATCAGTTGACAACAAAAATGAGAACATATTTTAATAATTAATAAACTATTAAATCGTTTACAAGTTTTCTTTTCATTCATTAGAGAATCTCTTATGTGTTTAAATGATTAGACATTTGGACTCAACGCTTGATTTGATGGCATGAAAGGCTAGGGTTTCGCTCAAATCAGTGGATAATTTTTCTTATTTTTTGTTATATATATTTATGATTTGTTAAAAAATATTGTTTTACAGTTAATAATAAATAATTAAACTAATTGTCGCTAATATTGTAATCGAGGTGTGGATGACATGTGAATGCAGTTGATTTTTATTGAGTAGTTTTGGTGACAGCGCTCGAGAGAACCACTTTATTGCCGGACACAACCGAATGGTTCACTGACGCCGCCTTCTTATCGCCTGTAATTAGTAAAACACACGTAATTAAAATACTGCTCAACACATGAACAATGCGTACATTCTTATGAAATACCATTGTTTGCGGTTATCTCGAGAGTGGGCTTCTTCTTAGGCGGCGCACCACTCGCGTCCACCTCTGCGTTGCGTTTGACAGAACCCGAGTGAACCATATATACGTGATTCTCAAACAGTCGGTACAAATTGAATGTCGCCGAACATACCGTACACTTGTAGGACAGGTGCGCCGGCTTTAAGCTAATCTTATGCATCTGTCAAACAAAACACACAGTATTATAGTTACAATCAGTATATCAATCAAACATAAGCCAATTAATTCATTACTTGATTCATATGAGCGACTAATTTATTAGCAAAAACGCGTCCACATATAGTACAGCGGCCGCCGTCTTGATTCTGGTTAACCATATCCTGCATATTAGATGTGACCAATCCATGCGCGCCTAATAGATGTCGTTCTAATCCCTGGTCAGTGAAGAACCTCCACTGACACTTCTGACAGTTCAGTGGCGGACGACTGGCCAACATCTTCGGGTGTATTTTTACCTAACATTTCAATTTGTCATCCATTAGACACCGATTAGATTATAAGATGTAATCAATGCATACCTTGTGAATCCACTGCATGTGAGTCCTGAGCTGTTCCAGATCTTTGATATATCCGTCGCAGATCTCGCAAATGACAAACGTTCCGCTCTTACCGCCGGCGGTGTCGTTGTTGGGTCTCATAGCGGGAGAACTGTTATTCGTTTTCGACAATATATTCGGTTTATTAGAATTGGAATTCTTCATGATATTAGCGCCGGCCATAGCAGCCATCTTGTTCGCCATCTGAACGTTATTCCTGTTCTGAATGGGAACCAGTTGTGTGTGACCGCCAACTGTGGACAGCATTTGGTATAACTGTGGCGACACATTCTTAGACCCGTATGGGTTGGCCATCAATGGGGCGATTGGGCGACCCTTTTGGTTGGTGGGCATCATCTGTTTGGGAGGTCTGCCCGGACCCACTCTCACACCCAACTGCTGCTGTTGTATAGCAAGCATTTGCTGTTGAAGACCAGTTGGAAGGCCGGGAATGTGCGGCACTTTAGTCTGCGGGTTGAGTGCTGCGAATCGGAGTGCTTGTAGTGTCGCCTCATATATCTTGATGTCCTCCTGAGTAATGGGTTTGGGAGTAATGGTCGGGAAATCGTAGGCATCGGTCAGATTGAGAAGTTTCTCGGCGTTAAAGAACTTCAAACATTTGGTAATATGTGTGGCGGCCTTCGACTTGACGCCCGACTCGTACGGACAAACCGGGCATTCGTAGAGTTGGGGCGGGATTTCGATGAGACACTTGGCCTCGTGGAGCGCTTGTGTGTGTAATACAACCTGCTTTGGGTCGCGAGTCATATACTCGCAGTAATTGCACTTATATTCGCGTCTAGAGGTCAGGTGGGGGTAAGCCATGTGCCCTCTGGCCACGAGTTTGAATTCGGTCCTGAAGTCGCAGTGATCGCACTTATCGGTCGGGAATACATACGAACTGTTGGCCGCCCGACACTCGGCGTAATACTCCTGTTGTGTCTTCAGCTCTTCCACCAAATCGTCGACCTCTCCCTCCCGTCGGATCTGTTTCTTAACTTTGCTGATGGCGTCCTTATGATACCATTGCTTCGCACGACTCAAACCCAAACCCACCAACAGTTTGCCCACAGAACTCGTGTAGAAGTCGGCGATTGTCAACATATTCTTCGAGTTCTGCGTAACGCCAGAATTGCCATCATTTTTCGAGTCCGGTTGCGGTTCTTGAAGCTTATCCGGGAAAGTGGTGGGCCTTTGGATCATCAGCGGAACCACTTGTGACGGACAGTCGAGAATCGAGTCTTTGATGTCCACATCGATGTTATTCCACGTCTTCTTATTGATTGCGATCCTCTTCCCAATGGAGACGTGTTTCTTCATGTAATCAGGAAAACCGGTTTCGTCATCACTTATGTCGGGCGCGATGTCTAACAACTGCTGACTCTTCGCATCGTTGGTCGCATCGGACGACTCGTTCACAGAAATTGTTGGCCGCCCGACACTCGGCGTAATACTCCTGTTGTGTCTTCAGCTCTTCCACCAAATCGTCGACCTCTCCCTCCCGTCGGATCTGTTTCTTAACTTTGCTGATGGCGTCCTTATGATACCATTGTTTCGCACGACTCAAACCCAAACCAACCAACAGTTTCCCCACAGAACTCGTGTAGAAGTCGGCGATTGTCAACATATTCTTCGAGTTCTGCGTAACGCCAGAATTGCCCTCATTTTTCGAGTCCGGTTGCGGTTCTTGAAGCTTATCCGGGAAAGTGGTGGGCCTTTGGATCATCAGCGGAACCACTTGTGACGGACAGTCGAGAATTGAGTCTTTGATGTCCACATCGATGTTATTCCACGTCTTCTTATTGATTGCGATCCTCTTTCCAATGGAGACGTGTTTCTTCATGTAATCAGGAAAACCGGTTTCGTCATCACTTATGTCGGGCGCGATGTCTAACAACTGCTGACTCTTCGCATCGTTGGTCGCATCGGACGACTCGTTCACAGAAATCACTTCAATTTCGTCGCCATTTTGTTCGGAATCAGTCGTTTTGGCCGACTCTTCGTTCACCGATTTTGGGACAGACTTTTGCGTCGACACCACAGAACTGCTGTCCATCGAGTCATTAGGTGTGGCCTCAAAACTCTTCAGCTCATTGTCGGCAAACTTATTGGACACCGAATTGGCTGTACTTTGACTGTTGTCGTCATCACTAATGATGATGTCATCGTCGTCTTCGAGCACATCGTCGTCGAGCTCTTCGTTGTCGTCGACGTCCGGAATCGAGTCGTGATTCTCTTGATTGTCGAGCTCTCCATCAATCAACTCCTCCTCATCCTTAAGCTTACCGTTTGTCTCATCCTTCATAACAATGTCTTCGTCCACGTCTTCGAGATCGTCCACGTCTTCGACAATGTCTTCGTCGACAATGTCATCGGCGGTCGACTGTGGCGGCGATTCGTCCAATTCGATTACGTCCAACGCATTCATGTCTGCCATTATGTTGTGTCACTCAATTGGTCCGACGATTATATCATACAAAACCGATGTCTCCGACAATAGAAACGACTGTCGACTGGATTTCCGGCACAAATCACTCAATCGATTGTGAGTTAAATCTGTTTCCAAACAATCAAAACAAATATTAATTACAATTAAATCAAACAAATGTCGAATACAGGGGTCAGAAGTGGTCAGAAAGTTGGCCACAATTAGTGACCTGTGATTAGTGGCGAAGAAGTGGTTTTGTATATAATGATAGTTAATCACAGTTAAGATGGCGGGTGTGAGTGAATGGCAGTGAGCGCTGGTGTGAGCGCTGGTGCCCTCCTTTCCACCTTTTCCTCCTCGAGCTTAAGTACTGGCAGTCAGTGTCGAGCACTCGAGCGCTCACTCTAACAGAGCCTAATGCTGTTCAATGGGGGGCGATATCCGTGCACTCAATCGCATGGCTGTGGGGGTCGACACTCACTCACTCTCTCCCTCTCTCTCCCTGACTGAGCGCTGCTATGACTCGGCTGTCGAGTCGATTGCGAGCCTTAACTATGCGTTTGGTTTGCTTTTTGTGCCCATTTCTGTGCCCAACGCTCTCTCCTCTCCGCGTCTCTCTCTCTCTTTCTCTCTCACTAACCAAACCAAAGACAACGATTGGTTGGACGCGTGGTCTACGCCACTCAACACCAGCTCTCTCTCACACTCACTCACTCAATGACAGTGGCGTCCGCGCTATCCTTCCCTATACTACCCACTCATTGTCTCTCTTGAATGAAATGCCAATTCAATGACTGTAGCGTCGGCTCAGACACTCCCGACCCGATCGGCACACTTCGGCACCCGTACTGACCATCATATATACCATTCATTGTCTCCAATGATAATCATTTAATAAAAGACCGAATCTAGAGATTCCGCCACTTTTTTCGTTATAATTCTTGTTTGATAGTAGAGTGGAGTCAAAGACTGGGCTTATAATCGTTATAATCAATACGAAGGGCTGTTTGGGAGGCGAGACATACTCTGTATATCATATTTCATATTACAATTTGGCTCTAAATTAAATCTAATACTCAATTCTCACTTAATTTAGTTTTAATTCATTGTAATAATTGCATTGATTTCGCTATTGATATGAAATCATAGCTAATTTTAACTAAACTCAACGCAAATAATAAAAATAAAATTTTAAACAATAAATAAATGTTAGCAATAATATTAATAATCGAGTTATCAATTCGTGAATAAATGAATCAATTCTTCAAATATATCCAAATATAAATCGATTCTATAATTGAAACAAATATTTATTGAATACAAGTTATAATTGAATTGATTTTTACATATAAATTGGGAAAATCTTGGTTTAAAGCGTTTACAAACAAAACCTGAAAATATTAATAAAAAATAACAATCAAATCATTTTAACCGTAATTATAAATCATAAGAATTTTCTATTATTGTTAAGTTTGAGGAAATTTGTTACAAAACCCTATTTATGAAACAAAAATCAGATAATTTGTGGGAAAATAAGGAAATTGTATAAAACAGTTTTAACGATAATTTAATCGTCAATTTAATTCCCATTTAATTAATTCATTCATTTGAATCGGTATTAAAATAAATGGTTTATAAAAATAAATGAATTGTAAATAAATTATTTAAATTAAAAATTAAATAATTGATATATAAATGAAATGAGTGCTAAATATTCTTAGAAATATCTCAAATACATTGAAAATATTGTATTTTTATAATATCTTACAATTATAATAAATATTTGCAAAAAGATTATGCAATTCTCAAACTTTTCAAAAGTATTGAAAGATTTGGTGACAATTATTGCAATTATTTTGGCTTTAAATTTTGATGCCATAACATTTATTTAATTATTAAATTTTAATACAAGTTAGATATGATTCAAAATAATTATTATAACATAATAGGGATTCAATTAATTTATTTCAAATCAAATTAAATCAATTAAAATCAGTATTAAGTAGTCATTTGACAAAACAACTCATTTCACAACCAATTATATGTTGAGCTCATTGTAAGACTTCACCAAAAGTTATCATCAAAATTGAGTCAACATTTATCACAAAATTTATAAAAATATGAATCAATTTCCACTTAAATACACAAAAAGCAATTAATTTCAACAAAATGTCTGAAATACTTAACAAATGAATTAATTAAAGCATTAAATGTAAAAAATTAGTCAATTGTATGGCTATGAAAGGCATGAGAAGTGAATACAAAGCCAATACTTAAACATTTAGTGACAGATTCTGTAACAAATATTTGGCGCTAAATATTTCATACAAACTGTCGGTCTTTTTGTGAACACATATTCACACAAATTCAACACAACATTCACACCAATCAATACATATTACTCTCATATCCACTCGATTTACATGTCATTCACGAAAACAATTTAAATCATTCACTCATTTAAATGCTATTAAAAGATTACAAAAAAAAATGAAATATAAAAGTGCTTACATTTATTAGCCCGAGTTGTGTGCCGTATAGTCAACACGTGTGTCAATGCGGTCACCAAATGATGTTTACAACACAATTAATACTATTATTTAAAGCAAAACACAATCAAAAGTAATGAAAATGTAATTTCAATGACTGGTTAATTGAGACAATACTTTGAGTCAATGATTAACAGAATTGCCACAAATAGTGCTAATTATGAGTAGAGATGTCGACCGACTATTACAACACAATAACCGGAATAGAGTTGTAAACGTGTACACAATTGCCGCCAAACGTGTGTTGCCATCGATTCCTACGATTACCGGCACTCGTATTGGGCTTAACATTGAACTCAACTTTTGTGCATAGATTTTAGTGAACTCTCCAAAGCGTATCAAATATTCATCTTATATCATAGTATGGCATACATTATGGCATACATTCACTGTTCACTTGTTTCGTAACAATGAGGGGAAGAGGGAGGGAGAGGTGTGGAGACAATGAAGGGGTAGAGCCAGAGGGGCACAGAAGGGGCAAATACAGAGAGGGGTATGAAAGCGAAATTGAGATGGTAGAATAGGAATATTTATATTCACAATAACTTATGAACATTACAGCTAATTGCCCTAGTCTTACAATATAGTTTTGTAACAATCTATGTCATTTGATATGATTAAAATTCAATTTACTGTAACATGTTTATTTGCAATACTTTGAGTGTAAAATGACGCATGTAGAATATTTTCATTGATTTGGGTAAAACTGTTTACATTCACTATTGATAGTACCATTTGTTTATTTTTATTAAATTTAGTATCAAATATAGAGAATATGATAGCTTTGAATGCATATAATAGGAAACCAATGTTTGCATTATTGGTTCTGACGATTACATGCAAACAATTGATATAAAATATATAAGTTTTAAACACAAGAATATTTTATTTTCAAATTAATTATACAATAAATAGTCAATGAATTTGAGTAAACGAAATGATTGTAAATAAAACTAAACAAACAAATGAAAACAATAATGATAACAACGATGTGATGATTGTGTCAATCGCTGGAATAGTCTTCCTCTTCGTCTTCGTTGTCATCAAATGAAAGTAAACTCGAATTTCGGACACTTTTTGTCTCATTTTCTTCAAGTCTTTGTTTAATAATCGCATCGTTTTTACTCTTAGCCAACGATTTGCTGTTTTCTTGACTTTTGTCGGGCTTTTTGAATACAATCTTTCCGTCGTTGATATCCTTTTCCTCATCTATTCATAAATCATTACAAAACGTTAAAAGCATTCATTAATAAACCATTAATTGTCTCAAAACAATCACCTTTTATACGGTTCTCTTCCGTAAGTTCTTTCACTTCATCGGCGGTCAGATCGCCGTCTTTGAGGACAACAATGACGGGCTGTTCCTCATCCCTGTCCTCGAGGTCTTCGGAGTCGGCTTTCGGTAGGATTTCTTTCTATGGGTTTTGCATTTCGTTGACACAAATGGTTATGAAAAGTGAAAAACAAAATAATCTCATGATTTAGTGACAAACTTTAGTGTCGATCTCAGGACCAGCTGTGATGCCGGCTCTGGCCTTCAACTTCTTGATGAAGTCGGGCTCTTCCGGTCGCGAGAACGCGATATTCCTCTTCCGACCCGACATTCAGACCATTGAATCGGTTGTCAAAACACTTCTTCAAGAGATGTGACAACAAAAACAAATGTGAAAAACATATGAAAAGGGGTTGTATT